CTCTCACACACACACACACTCTCACACACACACACACTCTCACACACACACACACACTCTCTCTCTCACACTCTCACACACACTCTCTCTCTCACACACACTCTCTCTCTCACACACTCACTCACTCACACATTCTCAGACACTCACACACACACAGACAGACACAGACACAGACACACACACGCAAGCAGACACAGGGCCCTGAGGAATCTTCTCTCGGCACACTGCATGTTTCCCGGACACCTTCGCCTGCACCCGGCCTGTCATCCCCAATCCTATGGATGCTGCAGCTGGGAAGTGTGAGCCTGTACCTGGGCAAAACAATTCCAGCACGTCTGGGCCCCCTATCCAGAAACAACCCAGGGCTCATCCACACAAACCTTCCAAACCAACAGGCTCTGACACAAGACACCTCCCTTCAGCTCAGCTACAGAGACAAGGGTTGTACCTAGCTGTTGTGAGAGGGCAAGGAACATGTAAAACATTCTGAGGGCACATAGGTGGCAACATACTGTAGGAGAATTACACATCCATGAGTATCAATCCTTCACTTTCAGTTTAGTTATGGAATCAGCTTAACTGGTTACCAAGTCATAGTTAAGCCACCTTTTTATTCATCGCAAAATGGGCAGTGGCAAGGCATTTCCTGCCACTGGATAGCTATAGATTTCAGACATCCCTCACTTTTATCACTGCAACCAAGACAACCAAGAGGTGAGGAGATTACAAATTAATGAAAATGCTTTGTGATGGTCTTTCCTTCCATTCATTTTCCCGAGTTGCAGCCACATTGTGTGTGTGAGTAAATCCTCATTCATTACTGCGTACTTCTCCAGGGTTAAAGATTAACTCTGGGTCTTACAAGGGAGTGCACACTCATTTAAGATTGGGCAATGTCCACAAACATCCAAATTGGGTTTCATAACTGGCTGGAAAAAAGAGGTCTGTGGAACTGATTTTGTAACTTGAGATGTGATAGTGAAGTCTACTGAAGCACAACATGCTCATTTAGCAGTCTGTGTGAAACTGCAGATGCTGAAGGCTGTACAATGAACAGGGTCTGTGTTAGTATTCTACAGACTGACAATGGCCGTGACCCAACTCATTGTGAGCTTCTTCAACAACTGATCCTAAAGGAAGCCTCAAAAACTAATTTTGCTGCCAGGTGAGGTCAGAACCCTGCCTGAATGAGAGCTCAGTCTTTCCCCCAGTCCCAGTGAAACAGATAAAGCTGTCATCCTCGAGTGCGGGAGTAGCAGATGCTGGAAGCACTCAAACAGTTGATAACAGTAACTTTTATTGCGCAACAGGAAAAGTGAAGAAAGATACATTAGAACAGCTGCATTTACTCCTATGTATAAACAGGGTCTGCTGGAATTTGCCACAACAAAAAAATATGTTCACCATGCTCCAACCTCTCAGAATATCCCAGCTGTCAATTCAGTACTGTTTCATTTGTTATGCTTGATGCTGCAGCACTGTGTCACAGTGACAGTGATATTCTTCCCCGTCAAAAGTCCTCAGCTTCCTCCTTAAAAGGCAGCTGTTCTCCCAGCTCCTCAGTGTCTGTACCATTCCCTCTTTACCTGCTCCAGTTATGCAGTGTACAGCCAGCCCAAACTATGGAGCACAGCCTGTCTGAAATCTATTCCAAGGCTCTTCAAGATTGATCCAAGTACCGGAACGTCAGTTTGAGCAGCCCTACTATCCTTCCACGATGGCTTTGGTGGGACAGTGGACTACACTGTACCTGTATTCTGCCTCAGTCGGAGGGGGGTGGTCCCTTAAAAGGAGCCATCAGCCATGGTTGGAGAGGCTAGCTCTTGTTTACAAGCAGCCATTTGGCCCTTTGAATGAGACAGGAACTTGCGTGTTATCAAGAATATCGACATCATGGTAACATCCCGCATATCTGGCACAGACCTCTACAACATGGGAGTGGTGAGGTGGACATTGATCAAGTGGTACCCTTTCCTGTTAATTCAACCACATTATCATTCAGTGCTCTCAATACAGTGTATGTAGTAGTGCTCTGTATCTGCGTGATAGCAGCAACATTGTAAAATCCCACTGTCAGGCTATAGCACCAACCTCATCCAGGGGAAAAGAGATGAAGCAGTATGATCTTACACAGATCAGTCTTGTGGGATGAGGATTAGCGGATTCTACACAGACCCCCAGTGGATGTTTGGAACATGCCAGGCACACAAAAGTGAAGCAATGTTGTCACCTTGCCAACCAGTGCGATGGGGTGGCTAGCCACTTCCTCAGAGTGCAGAAGACACAGTCGTGTCGTGGTGCCCAGGGTTAGCATCAGTTGTGCTGCACAAGCCTCGGTCACCTGGACGAACTGACAGTGAGGCAAGCCCACCGTTGAATATCGAAACCTCCTGTGGAGGAGGGGGGGGCCTTTACCCTGGGGGGGGGGCGGGGGAACCAGGGCAGCCTTCTCCACGAACAGGCTCTTCAGCTTTTGCTGCCTCTGCTGTCATCCCTGGGTTCGCTGGCACCTTTCAATCTCCTCAATTCTTCCTCACTGTCTTCATACACTGTGACAGCCATGATGGCACCTGCTATTGCTGGATCCATGCAATGAACCAATGTGAGGAATATTAGAAACACAAGGCCATAAGACCTTCAGATGTACAGAGTGGATGTAGACCATTCAGCCCATCGGGTCAGCTTCGCCATTCAATGAGATCATGGCTGATCTGATCATCATTCACTCCACTTTCCTGCTTTTGCACCATTACCCCTTGCTTCATTGGCCAATTAAAAATGTCTACCTCAGCCCCGAACACACACAACAGCCGCAACAGCTCTCTGCACTAAAGAATTTCACAGGTTCACTACACTCCAAGAGAAGAGAGTTCTCACCTTGGTCTTAAATGGGCAACTTCTTACTCAGATTACCCAGAGCCTCTGGTCCCAGACTCTCCCACAAGGGGAAACAATCTCTCCACAT